TGTATGCCAGCTATCATTTGAAAATCGAATAGCTAATATCGCTCCTGAACTCCTGACATAATATGATACGAATGACAACACCTTTATTTAAATATACAAAAACGAGATGTGAATGTAACATGATTTTAAAGCGTCTTTTTAACAAAGATAAAAATAGACAAAAATCACCATAAAATTTATGAAATTACGCGTTTGTGTAACAGGTAATGCCATAGGTAATGAACAATCTATAAATAATTTAAATACAAATTGGCGAATACACTGACTGTCGGATAGGTAATCAATATAAAAAAGAAACTATCAAATATATTGTTACAAATAGAAACTGCTAAAAATAACGTTTACGTGTTAAAAATCGGTGTATTTACCAATTTCATTTAGATTACTCGCACAAAAAATTAATACGTATTTTAAAATACATACATAATAAATAAAGAACATAGCTATTAAGGACATAAGTCTGAAAAGGGTAGTTAATGTAACAAAAAATAAATTAAACAGTATACGTTATCTTGATAAAAGAGGCGAAAATTCCCCTCTACGTATTTTTAAACATTTTTTTCATAAAACATTTAAGTCTAAAAACTCTGAATATACAACAAAATATAAAAAAAACGATTGTCAAGATCGTTAGATCTTTACTTTGCATTGAAATATCATTCCAATGTTGCAAAAAAAATCAAAACAATTACTTAATACTTTTATGACACAGTCACTACTTTTTTGTTGACGTAAAGTTAATGCTATGTAAATCAGGACTATTCAATAAAATCCGCCATAAAATGTAAATTATCAACATTGAATTCAACGTCAAATACTTTTTGGACATATTTAGCGTTTTTAAAGGACCCGCCTTCTATTACTACATTTTATATTTTTCATCTTGCTGCTGCTGTAAAAACATCTTGGCAGGTGGTATTTCCAAATCGTGATTATCTAAACAGTGCCTTTTTAGTTCAGCATACTTTCTGAACTTTCGGCTACAAATGCCACAATCAATTTTCACTTTTCTAACATTATGAATGTACCATTCGTGGTCCCACTTTTCTTTTAAAGTTTTGTAATAAGCCTGGCAAAAATTGCAGCGGAACCGTGTCCCTGCGGCCTTGTTGTGTGTGCTTTTGATATGCTTGTTTAACATAGACTCGAAATGAAACGTTTTGTCACAGTAGCGACACGGCAACGGAGTATTCTCCTTATGATACTGCATGTGTTTTGTAAGCATCTTTTTAGAATTAAACTTCCTCAGACATAGATCACATTGGTAGTACGCGGAGCCATGAATTTTCTTGTGTTTCGAGAAATTGCTGGAATCACTAAACGATTTGTTGCAGAATGTGCATTGATACAAAGTTAATTTTGCGTGCTCGCGCAAATGAGCCTTGTATTTATCTACCTTAGTGAAGGATTGTATTTGGCACACCTCGCATTGTATGTTGAGAGTGCCATCTTTGCTGACCGGGTTCTTCGCAAGGGTACTCTTGATGACGTGCTCGATCAGGTGTCTTTTCAGGTCTCCAATTCGAGTGAAGGTTTTTGAACAAACATCGCAACTCTGAAAAATGTAAAAATATTTTTTTTTATTTGCTTAAATTTAATATATAATCCCATATAAATTATTTAAGATATCTAAGTAGACTTAAATAATACAATATCATCAAATAGATTAACCAACCTTTTTAAATCTCTTATTTTGTCTTCCCTTCCTAGCATTAAGTAAAAAAACCTTATTAGACATCACTTTAGCAAGAACATCATTTGCGTTTTTTATATCGATTTCAATCGAGTCATTTCCATCGACATCCATCGGTAATTCGTAAATATTTCCGGAATCGGAATCATTCTCTATATCAGAGACACCATCGTCAAGAAAAAACGATTCAGAATTCTCGGTACTTTCCCGCCAAATGTGACATTCTTCGTGTTTTTGCAAATCTGTTTGGTTATTTGTTGTGAAATCACAGTCATCACATTTTTGACTTGGATGTGTTTTGCTAACGTGTGTTCTTAACTCTGCGAGTTTGTTAAATGATTTCGTACAATTAGGACATGGATATTTTCGCATGTGTATCTTACGGTGAGTACGCAAACTAAATTTAGATGCGAAAACTTTGTTGCACTTTTCGCACTCGAGGTCAGGGTCGCCGTGGCCGCGGTTGTGTAGATCAAACTTCTCTTGCGACTTCAACTTCTTCCCGCACTGGGCACAGATGAAAACCTTTATATCGTCGCTTACTGATCCCCGATGTCTTTTCCGATCATGTGATACAACCATATGTTGCTTAAATGCTGTTATTTGATCAAATATTTTCTCGCATTTTTCACACTGATATTTCTTATGATTGTTGTTACTGCTTTCTGAAAATAAATAAAAAAAATGTTATCAATTTAAACAATTCATATTTGACATTTATACTCAACAATATACATTTATAAATTAATGTTTTAGACAGAAATATGTTACAGATGTTAAAAGATATTCTATAATTATACACTGCTGTAAAGTATTTTTTTTATTTATTTAATAATTTATCTTTTTAATACCAAATGTGTACAGTTTATTTGATCAAATATTCCAAGAAATACTTTATGTTCTGGTTACTTATCCTACATTCTAATACATATTAGTTTTAATTTTGTTGTGTGTATTTTTGTTTTAAAAGAAAATAAAACATACAAAAATGTTAACACAATAAATGTACATATATATTAATGTTTTAAATAATATTCACTTATTAGTTAATTATAAGGTTTTCTTACCAACATCAATAATTGTAGAAACATCATCCGAGTTGCACATCAAAGATGGATCATTGACTGCTATCTTCTGGATAGTCTGACCACACTCAGGGCCCATAAATATTATAGTCTTCTGCGGTTTGGATGGAATTTGTATACCATTTGACATTAACTGCTTTAGTGCATTATTATCACTTTGAAGACCTAAGTCGATGGACTCGGTTAAAACTGGAGGCTCTTTCTCACATGTTATCTCTTCAAGCAGTAGACCGCATTCTTCTAATTCATCACCATCAAACAAATGAGTCAGATCTGTGGTATTGTTTTGGTTTACTAATGTTTCAAAACCATATTCCTCAGAAGAAGCATAATGTATAGTTTCAGGATAACTGTATACATTCTGGGTTATGTATGTATTATGTTGCTGAACGGTGACATGGTTGGCTTGATGGTTGTATACAAATTGTGGTGGGAGACCATTTGTGGTATAATTGTTATAAATGTATGGACTCCTAGCTGGATCTATCCATACATTGGATGGATAAGTAGATTGTATGGCTACATCTTGAACTGATTTTGTATCTTCAATATTTATGAATTCTAGTCCTTGTGTTGACTTATCTGGGGTGTTGTATTCTTTATCTGTGAATTTTATATGACAGCAGCCCGTGTATATGCAAATTGGTTCACCTTTAGTGTTGGGTGATGTGATGGTAATGTCTAAAATGATGTCATCAAGCAGTGCAGCGTTGTGGTGCAGTTTTACACACTCCTTTGGTATCAACAAAATAGGGTATACAATCTCCATTTTGAATTACCGCCGTCGAGTTATTTTATGTAATTAATCGCGTCTTTATGTTGAACGAAAGCAATACAAAAGAAGATCGAACACATATCTTCCCGATATTTAAATGAACGGTTTGAAAATAACAACTGTTTTAGACAATTCGATATTTGAAAATGTCGCAAGAGAAAATTTGAAAACGTTAGAGGAGGGTATCTTTGTAACGTCATATTGTTTGAATTTATTTATTTTCGAAGCTACCCTCCTTTTACTGAAAATAAAAATTGTCGTTATATAAACATGAAATGACGTTTTAAAATTATGTTACACATATTTTTAAAGTGGAGAGTAAGAGTTTTTCAAAATAACTGTTAATTTTTTTAGCACGTAATTTTACGTAACGACAATTAGTCATACTTATACAAAACAACTTACATTTTCAGATTCTTGAGATATCAAAGAAAACCTAACTAAAATTAAATTAGAAAAATTATGCGATTTTTTTAAGTTTTTCATTTTGACCCTAATATTTACAATAATTTTTCAGGATTAACTTACGTAAAAATTAATTTGACTTTTACAATGTTATACATAGAAATGAAAAACGTATCCGAACGTAATAAAAGTTTGAAAATCATAAATATTTAAATGAATGAGGGTAGAAAAATCTAAATTTTCAGCGCCAAAGTAAAAAAGTAAGTTCGAATTTTGTGTTTATGGAATTAATCTTCAAAAGGTATACAAATTTATATTTAAAAAATTTAAATATAGTATTTTCAGTCAACTTTAAAATAAATTGCGCAATAATTGTGTTAAAATTTTTAGATAACTTCAAGTTATTAAGTTTTGTTTTGTGTACGAGCCAGTTTGTGTTAATACTAATATTATAAAGGGAAAGATTCGTATTTCTGTATATATTGAAATAACTCAAAAACGACTGTGCTGATTTCAAAAATTCTTTTACCATTAAAGAGCTACGTTATCAGTGAGTAACATAGGCTATATTTTTAATTGCACGCGGGCGAAGTCGCGGGCACCAGCTAGTTACTAATATAAGTTACTAGTATAAAGTGAAATATTACATTTAATTGCGTAAGTTAACGTAAACAATGGTTTTATCTATATAGTGAATTAACACAAAAATGTCAATAAATAAACGAAAGATTTGCACCAAGTCCTTGTCAAATGGAAAACCGCAAACCTAAGTTACGTGATTAATATTTATTATTCTTAAAATGCATTTTAAATTATCCCGTACATAGTATAAACCGCTTTATGTTGACGGGGTTACACGAACAAAACAAAACAAACTAATTCCTAACTTTAGTACATTTGAATCGTGTGGTTTAGTAAACTGAGAAACTTCAAAGCCCCGAGCCGTTCTAAGGAAATCTATTGTGTATAGTTTTACAACTAGTGTTCAAATATTACATTAAAATGTTATAAATTGAAATTGTGATGAATTAATTGTAAAATTCTGCAAAACTGTTTCGTTATAGGTCAAAATACGATAATAATATGCACGTAAACGTTTGAAAAGTTTCTTTTTTCATTCCATATGGACATTATAAAGATTATCTTGATTGCTTCTTATTCACATAAAGTACAAAAACTAGAGGCAGTGAGTACCGTTACAACAGAGAGGGGAACCTCTTTAAATTTGATTGGTGCTTCTAGGAGACCGCAGTCAACCTAGTACGCCGCCATTGAAAGTTTGGAAATGATTATTCGACATATTCTCATATGCTTTATTAGTATTTCCTATATTATTTGTCGATAAAGATAGTGTTTTGTTTTCTTTTAAAAAGCCATTGAACTAAGTATTTATATTCAGTTGACTATTCAACTGAGTTCAAGGACTGATTTGTTTTGATCAAAAATACAATTATTTTTATATCTACACAAAACAATTAGTAGCAATGTCACAAGTCGCATCAATTACAATTGTATTAATCCATTGATAACAATTCAAGATAAACGTACAAATAATTAGTTTTTAATAGTTCTGTTCAATAACATGAAATTTATCCCAATGGGTAATGGGACTCGATATTTTGTCGTATTTTTAACCCGAGTTTCATGTTGAACTTAATCTCGTAGGACTCTTAAGATACTGTTAAGTCAGACTCCTCTAGGCTAGAATCCATTTTCCGGTTTCTTGGAGATCCCGGAACCTTCGACTATCTCACTTGAGTCACCGAGCTGGTTTTAGTGGGTCAAATCCTCCATAACCCTTCCCCCCAGAGGGCAAGGGATCTGTGGAAGATTTCCTCACCGACACTATAAAAACGGCTACAATTCAGTTAGTCGCAAAAAACGTTCTCACTAAGCTATTTTACTTCGAAAAAAGTTTATAAAATTATGAATAGCAGGATTAAAAGGATTATCAGATTTAAGCAAACAAATTCGCACATTGACTTAATCGAGTTGTAGATATTTTTATCAGTCGGAGACAACAAATGATTTAAAAAAAAATCAATTTGTTTATGGATGATTCAGACCATATTGCATTATCAATTAATACCCAAAATAATGCATTCAATATAAATAAGATTTAATTTTTTAAATTAGTATCATAGATTTGTCAGGCCTTAGCAATAATGGTTGTCCTTTTTGTGGTTATAACTCTCGTTAATTTTGCAATCAGTGCCAATGGTATGTTTTTAATATTACCGTTTTAATTTCGCGATGTTACCAGTAAATTAAATGTATAACAGAAAGCTCCTTACCAATATACTTAGACGTATATTTTATATTTAGTAACATTTTAGGCCATCCAGTAGACCGTAATGAAAGTCGAGCGTTTGGGGG